CCGCATGCAAGGGGAGGTGTCGCTCCGCCCGGTACCAGTTTTTTCATATTTCCTCTCCCCCGACACCACACATCTCTCTAATTGTTTTACCTCCACGATGTATTGACGGTGGAGTGAACACGCGAGACCGTGAGTCGATTGGGCGATTGCACGCGCGTGCTTAGCCGAGCCGAGCGGGCCGCTAGACGGACGCGGCCTAGTCAAGCCTGCGGGGCCCAGGCTCCGTAGGCCGCGGCCTGTTCGTCGTCGTCGTCGCGAAGTCGCTTCGACGACAAGAAAGTCGGTTTGGGGCCAGCTAGCAACGCGTCGGACATTGTGTGTGTGTCTGTGTGTGTGTGTTGGTGTGTCTGTGTGTGTGTGTGTCGGTGTGTGTGTCGGTGTGTGTTGGTGTGTGTGTGTTGGTGTGTGTCGGTGTGTGTGTGTGTTGGTGTGTGTGTGTTGGTGTGTGTGTGAACAGCTGCCTAAATTGTGAGTGCGGGAACAGGCTCATAGAGACCCACAGACTCCTACAGAGACCCACAGACTCCTACAGAGACCCACAGACTCCTACAGAGACCCACAGACTCGCACAGCAACTCGCACAGAGACCCACAGACTCACACATAGAGACCCACAGACTCGCACACAGAGACCCACAGACTCATACAGAGACCCACAGGCTCCTACAGAGACCCACAGGCTCCTACAGAGACCCACAGACTCCTACAGAGACCCACAGACTCACACAGCAACTCGCACAGAGACCCACAGACTCCTACAGAGACCCACAGACTCCTACAGAGACCCACAGACTCATATACAGAGACCCACAGACTCATATACAGAGACCCACAGACTCATATACAGAGACCCACAGAATCCTACAGATACCCACAGACTCCTACAGAGACCCACAGACTCATATACAGAGACCCACAGACTCATATACAGAGACCCACAGAATCCTACAGATACCCACAGACTCCTACAGAGACCCACAGACTCCTATACAGAGACCCACAGACTCATATACAGAGACCCACAGACTCCTACAGAGACTCACAGACTCGTATACAGAGACCCACAGACTGAGACAGAGACCCACAGACTCCTACAGAGACCCACAGACTCGTATACAGAGACCCACAGAATCCTACAGAGACCCACAGACTGAGACAGAGACCCACATACTCCTACAGAGACCCACAGACTCCTACAGAGACCCACAGACTCATATACAGAGACCCACAGACTCATATACAGAGACCCACAGACTCATATACAGAGACCCACAGAATCCTACAGATACCCACAGACTCCTACAGAGACCCACAGACTCATATACAGAGACCCACAGACTCATATACAGAGACCCACAGAATCCTACAGATACCCACAGACTCCTACAGAGACCCACAGACTCCTATACAGAGACCCACAGACTCATATACAGAGACTCACAGACTCATATACAGAGACTCACAGACTCATATACAGAGACCCACAGACTCCTACACAGAGACCCACAGACTCGTATACAGAGACCCACAGACTCCTACAGAGACCCACAGAATCCTACAGAGACCCACAGACTCCTACAAAGACCCACAGACTCACACAGAGACCCACAGACTCACACAGAGACCCACAGACTCACACAGAGACCCACAGACTCATATACAGTGACCCACAGACTCATATACAGAGACCCACAGACTCGCACAGAGACCCACAGACTCGCACAGAGACCCACAGACTCCTACAGAGACCCACAGACTCCTACAGAGACCCACAGACTCCTACAGAGACCCACAGACTCCTACAGAGACCCACAGACTCCTACAGAGACCCACAGACTCCTACAGAGACCCACGAACTAAGTTTGATTCCCGCTCACAGCCAACGCCACCAGTGACGATTGTCTGAACCGGTCCTGCGCCTCCCCTAGGTCGACTCAGCCGCAAATGAGTACCTGGTGTAGCGGTGTGTAGTGAGCATCGCCACTGGGGAGACAAAGGCGGCCGGGCGTGGTGGTGCCCTTGATAGGTGCTGATACTTGCTATTAACAGCACTTGCCCCAACACTGGTAAGACTACACGGGGCATCTTTATCTGTGTACGTGTGTATGTGTGTGTCTGTGTATGTCTGTATCTGTGTATGTCTGTATCTGCGTGTGTATGTGTGTATCTGTGTATATGTGTATCTGTGTATGTGTGTGTGTATATCTGTGTATGTGTCTATCTGTGTGTGTCTGTATCTGTGTGTGTGTGTATGTGTGTGTATGTGTATCTGTATGTGTGTGTATCTGTGTGTGTATCTGTGTGTGTGTATGTGTGTGTATGTGTATCTATGTGTGTGTATCTGTGTGTGTGTATGTGTATCTGTGTGTGTGTGTATGTGTATCTGTGTGTGTGTATGTGTATCTGTGTGTGTGTGTATGTGTATCTGTGTGTGTGCATCTGTGTGTCTGTGTGTGTGTATCTGTGTGTGTGTGTGTCTGTATCTGTGTGTGTGTGTATGTGTCTGTATCTGTATCTGTGTGTGTATCTGTGCACATAGCCTGGCACAAGTGTCGTGGTGACGTCACCGACACTCGGTTGTTGTGTGTCTGTGTGTGTGTTCGACACGTAGACTTTCGCGACCAGTATTATTCATAATAAAGGTCTTTGGGTTAGATCGCGTTGTTATAAATGTGGCGTTTTGTCAACGCGACACATTGTTTGCTGATTGGCCGTGGCGGGTGGTGGAGGGTAGTGACACATTTATAATAACGCGATCTGACCCAGAAACATTGACTACAATCGATGTCTGTGTGTATCTACGTCTGTGTGTCGATATCTGTGTATCTGTGTGTGTGTATCAATCTACGTGTGTGTGTATCTCCGTATAGTAGGGAGTGGTGGTGTAGTAGTTAGCGCTACGCTGTGCTACGAACCCGGCGACCCAGGTTCGATATCCGCTCACGGCCAACACCGGTGACAATTATCTGTACCGGTCATGGGCCTCGCCTAGGTCGACTCAGCCTCAAATGAGAACCTGGTACGGTGTGTAAACATCGCCACTGGGGAGACAAAGGCGGTCGGGCGTGGTGCTAGCCACCCACCTCCTCGTGTACCGTTCCGGCCTTCATAGGTGCTCGCTAACAGCACTTGCCCCTAGAGTTGGTTAAGGCTATATGGGGGATCTATGTCTTTGTGTATCTGCATGGTGTGTCTGTGTATCTGTGTGTGTCTGTGGAGCCACAGCAGAGATAGAGAATTTGAGCAAAACCTACATCTCTGCTTTATTGACTGGTCAAGGCCTATGATATCCTCAGTAGGCCTGGGCTCTGGGTTGTTCTTCGTATGTTCGGAGTCCCTGACCCTCTGCTCACGATCATCGAGGACCTTCATGATGGTGAGCGGGCCCGGGTAAAACTACGTGGCCGGGAGTCGGAGCCATTCCCTGTTCACCTTGGGGTGCGACAGGGATGTCCTCTGGCTCCCACGTTATTTAACATCATCTGTGACCACGTAGTTTGAGAAGCTTTCCATGGATGTACCGGAGGAATTTCCATCTGGTACAGATAACAATGGGAGACTAATGGATACCCGGGTGTGGTCGATGATCTGGTGATTGCTGCTCACTCAGAGGAGGAGTTGGAGGTGCTGTTGCTGAACCTGGAACTTGCCACTAAGAGGTGTGTGGGGCCTTACCATCAGCAAAACTAAGCACCTGCCTGGGTATTTTGTACCATCAGACACTCCACCCCCACAACTCCCAATTGGTGATGGAGCAGTTGTGGAGAGAATGGAGAGTTTCGCATACCTGGGCAGTGTATATCCAAATCAGTCGAGCGGCATTATCTTTTCATCGGCTGCGTAACGCTGTGTGGAAGCTACCTGGTCTGTCACTCCGCACGAAGCTTCAGGTCATCTCGGCCAAAGTCATGCCCTCCCTTCTCAATGCTTGTGAAACGGGGACCCTCCTAATGGAACATCTTTGCCGGTAGAAATATTTAGGCTGGCCTGCCTACGATCCATCCTGGGTTTAACCTGCAGGCTGGATTGTGTGAGGAGCTCACAAATCCTTGAAAGATCTGGACAAAGTCCCATCGGTGAGCTCCTCCGGCGGGCAAGGCTACGCTGGCTGGGTCATGTAGCCCGCATGCCCAGCCACCGCATGCCTAAACAGCTTTAATTTGGCCGCATCGAGGGGGCTAAACGGGCGCGGCACGGGCTGGAGAAGAGATGGAGCTGATGTGGTACAAGAGGTTGTGGAGCTGAGTGGACTTGCCGATGACCGGTACCAGCGGTGTCAAGATCGGCCTCTGTGGAGGAGGCTCGTGAAGGACGCTACTGGGCAGTTGGAGGCAGTCGCCCTCCAACAACAACGGAGGGCGGAGGAGCGACGCTCACAACAACGAGCGGAGCGCCGGGTGGCTAAAGCACAGCAAGTTGGTACAGTAGGGGGCACAGGTGGTGCATCAGCCAGTCATCTCGGTCATCTCAGTCAGTCGACCTGTGGCACCTGGGCCTGCCCCGTGACCTACTGCCAGCGGGCGTTCGACACTTCACGTGGCCTCAAGGTGCACTTGGCCTGGCACAAGCGTCGTGGTGACGTCACCGCCACTTAGTGGCGAATGGCGGTTGTTGTTGTTGTGTCTGTGTGTGTGTGTGTGTCTGTGTGTGTGTGTGTGTGTCTGTGTGTGTGTGTGTCTGTGTGTGTCTGGGGAGTGGTTGTGTAGTAGCGGTTAGCGCTACACCGCACTACAAACCCGGCGACACCGAGTTCCATTCCTGCTCAAGGCCAACACCAGCAATGATTCATTATCTGAACCGGTCCTGGGCCTCCCCTAGGTCGACTCAGCCTCAAACGAGTACCTGGTGTGGTTTGTGGTGCTGGCCACCCACCCCCTCTGTGCGTGCCACAGCGCCGGTAGCCTCCATAGGCGCTGCTACTCGCTAACGGCACTTGCCCCAACAGCCTGTTAAGGCTACACGGGAGACTTTGTCTGTGTCTGTGTGTGGCAGACTGCCGCCATGTGGCAGGGCGACTCCAACTGGGGCCAGTGGCCCAGCTCCCAGCAGCAGTGGATCCAGTCGTACAGCGCCAGCGATGAGGGTGGGTCCACACACAGACACACACAGACACAGACACACACACACAGACACACACACAGACACACACACAGACACACACACAGACACACACACAGTCACACACACACACATAGACACACATAGACACACACACACAGACACACACACACACACACAGACACACACACAGACACACACACAGACACACACACACACATACAGACACACACACACAGACACACACAAACACACACACACACAGACACACACACACAGACACACACACACAGACACACACACACAGACACACACACACAGACACACACAGACACACACACAGACACACACACACAGACACACACACACACACAGACACACATACAGACACCTAATAACCCACCCACTAACCCACCCACCACCCACCCACCCACCACCACCACCCACCCACCCACTAACCCACCACCCACTAACCCACCCACCCACCACCACCCACCCACCACCCACCACCCGCGTGTGCGTAGGCGGCGAGGTGGACTGGGCGGCGCTGGCCCAGGCTTGGATCGCCCACAAGCAGACGGAGGGCGACACCAGCACCGGCGCGAATCTCGGCGGCACCGCCCGTCCCCCGGCACCGCCCACGGCGGGGGGCGTCCCCCCACCCCCTCAACCCCCCCCACCCCCTCAACCCCCCCCGCCGCCCCCCCCCCAACAGCAGCTGCAGCAGCAGCAGCTGCCCACCGCTCACCGCCAGCGTCCGTTCAACGGCCCCGACGGAGACCCCGAGGAGAACCTGGCGGAGTACGACAAGGCGTACGGAGCCTGGCAGCCAGGTGGGGGGGGGGGGTGTGGGGGGGGGCACGGGGGGGTGTGGGGGGAGGGGTGTGGGGGGTTGGGGGGGGGCACGGGGGGGGTGAGGGGTCAGCGTCTGGAGTTGGATCTAACGCTGGCTATGAGATGTTAACTACCTCGCCTGGTGTACAGGAGGTCGTGGGTTCGATGTTGAGATGTTAACTACCTCGCCTGGTGTACAGGTGGTCGTGGGTTCGATGTTGAGATGTTGACTACCTCGTCTGGTGTACAGGAGGTCGTGGGTTCGATGCTGATATGTTGACTACCTCGCCTGGTGTACAGGAGGTCGTGGGTTCGATGCTGAGATGTTAACTACCTCGCCTGGTGTACAGGAGGCCGTGGGTTCGATGCTGATATGTTGACTACCTCGCCTGGTGTACAGGAGGTCGTGGGTTCGATGTTGAGATGTTAACTACCTCGCCTGGTGTACAGGAGGCCGTGGGTTCGATGCTGATATGTTGACTACCTCGCCTGGTGTACAGGAGGTCGTGGGTTCGATGTTGAGATGTTAACTACCTCGCCTGGTGTACAGGAGGTCGTGGGTTCGATGCTGAGATGTTAACTACCTCGCCTGGTGTACAGGAGGTCGTGGGTTCGATGTTGAGATGTTAACTACCTCGCCTGGTGTACAGGAGGTCGTGGGTTCGATGCTGAGATGTTAACTACCTCGCCTGGTGTACAGGAGGCCGTGTGATGATGATATCAGTCACGTGACTGAGCTGCTGTCACTAGTGATGTCCCAGCTCGCTTCTGATACAATATCTACACAGCAGCCTAGTGGAGTCCTTACATCTGGTGATGTGAACAAAGTTTAGTTGTAGTGTGGGTCTCTGTGCGCGTGGATCTCTATGGGTGTATGTTGGTCTATATGGGTCTATTTAGGTGTCTGTAGGTCCCTGTGAGTCTCTGTGGGTCTCTGTGTGTCTCTGAGTCTCTGTGGGTCTCTGTGGGTCTCTGTTAGTCTCTGTGAGTCTCTGTGGGTCCCTGTGAGTCTCTGTGGGTCTCTGTGAGTCTCTGTGTGTCTCTGTGTCCCTGTGGGTTTCTGTGGGTCTCTGTGTGTCTATGTGGGTCTCTGTGAGTCTCTGTGGGTCTCTGTGTGTCTCTGTGTGTCTCTGTGGGTCTTTGTGAGTCTCTGTGAGTTTCTGTGAGTCTCTATGTGTCTCTGTACGTGTGAACATGTGTGTGTTGTACGTGCGTGCGAACGTCGTATGAACGTCGTGTGAACGTTGTGCCCGTGCTTGTTGTTGTCAACGCCCGCCAGGTTGGCCCGTTCCGCCTCAGCAGTGGCCTCACCATCCCCTGCCTCCTCCGCCAACCCCTCCGGCACCGCCGCCACCACCACCACGGCACCACCAGCACCCTCACCACCTCCACCCTCACCACCCTCACCACCCCCCTCACCACCCTCACCAGCAGCAGCAGCAGCAGCAGCCGCCTCACCACGCTCGCCAGGACAACTCCATCTCCGCAGACGAACCACCGCCCCACCATCAGCAGCAGCAGCACCACCCTCACCACCCCCCTCACCACCCTCACCAGCACCCTCACCACCAGCACCCTCACCACCCGCCGATGCCGCCGTCACACCACCACCACCACCACCATCAGGAGCAGCAGCAGCAGCACAACGCAGCGCAGTACCCGGGGCATTTCCCTGCCCCCGGAGTTGCCTTCTTGCCACCAGCAACACAGTTCGACTACCAGGTAAGGGTCAGCCCAGGGGGCTAAGCAGGTGAGGGTTTTGCGTTTGTGTGTGTGCACGTGTGTGTGTGAGCTCCTCTGGCAGGCAAAGCTGCATTGGCTGGGTCATGTAGCCCGCATACCCAGCCACCGCATGCCTAAACAGCTTTTGTTCGGCCGAATCGAGGGGGCTAAACGGGCGCGGCACGGGCTAGAGAAGAGATGGAGTGATGTGGTACAGGAGGACGTGAAGCTGAGTGGACTTGCCGATGACTGGTACCAGCGGTGTCAAGATCGGCCTCAGTGGAGGAGGCTCGTGAAGGACGCTACTGGGCAGTTGGAGGCAGTCGCCCTCCCAACAACAACGGAGGGCGGAGGAGCGACGCTCACAACAACGAGCGGAGCGCCGGGCGGCTAAAACACAGCGAGTTGGCACTGTAGGGGGCACAGGTGGTGCATCGGTCAGTCATCTCAGTCAGTCGACCCATGGCACCTGGGTCTGCCCCGTGACCTCCTGTTAGCGGGCCTTGGACACTTCACGTGGCCTCAACATGCACACATCGCCGCCACTTAGTGGCGAATGGCGGTTGTTGTATCTGTGTGTGTCTCTCTGTGTGTGTGTCTCTCTGTGTGTCTCTGTGTGTGTCTCTGTGTGTGTCTGTGTATCTTATCTGCGTGTGTGTGTCTCCGTGTCTCTGTGTGTGTCTCCGTGTCTCTGTGTGTGTCTCTGTGTATGTATCTCTCTCTGTGTGTGTGTATCTCTCTCTGCGTGTGTCTCTCTCTGTGCGTGTGTCCCCAGCAGCACGGCTTTGCGTCTCCTCCGGCTGCGTTCCCGGGCCCCTACGAGGCGTGGGCCCCTCCCCTGCGGGGGAAGGGTCACCGAGACCACCGCTCACCACAACGCTCGCCACCACCACCACCACCGTCGTCGCTTCCTCACCACCACCACCACGAGCCCACGCCACTCGGTGCTCGCCCGCACGCTCGCCCGCATGCTCACCCACTCACTCGCATGCTCACCCACTCACTCACCCACTCGCTCACCCACTCGCTCACCCACTGATTCGCTCGCACACTCACCCGCACGCTCACCCGCACGCTCACCCACTCACTCATCCACTCACTCACCCACACGCTAGCTCACAAACTCACCCCTCTCAGTACCACCACTACCTCTACTATCACAATGCACATCATCACCACCATCTTCACCACCACCAACCACCACCACCATCATTACCGCCACCACCACCTTCACATCTACCATCATCACCACCATCATCACCATCATCACCGCCACCGCCGCCATCACCACCACCGCCATCATTACCACTGCCACCACCATCATCACCACCACCCACCACCATCACCACAATCGCCACCATCATCACCACCGCCACCACCACCATCACCACCATCACCACCACCGCCACCATCACCACCATCACCACCACCGCCACCACCATCACCACCACCACCTCCACCATCACCACCGACCACCACCATCGCCGCCACCACCACCGCCGCCGCCGCCACCACCACCGCCATCACCGCCACCACCATCACCACCATCACCGCCACCACCGCCACCATTACCGCCACCACCATCACCACCACCGTCACCGCCACCACCGCCACCACGACGACTGACGCCCCCCGCCCACTCCGCCCGCCCCAGACACGGCAAAGCGCCGCGCCCTGCCGGCGTGGATCCGCGAGGGGCTCGAGAAGATGGACCGCGAGCGCCAGCGGCAGCTGGACCGGGAGCAGGAGCAGCAGCAGCAGCAGCAGCAGCGGAGGCAGCAGCAGAGGAAGAGGAGGAGGAGGTTGGGGAACAGCAGCGGCGGGGAGGGGGACGAGGAGGAGGAGGAGAGAGACGAGGAGGACGAGGAGGTGGAGTTGTCTCCTGGGGGGTCGACCCTGCTGAGGCCCACGCTCAGGAAAAGCAAATTTGTGAGTGTGGCTATTGGTGGTGTGCGTGGTGTGTGTGGGGTGTGGTGTGTGTGTGCGTGGTGTGTGTGGTGTGTGCGTGGTGTGTGTGGTGTGTGTGCGGTGTGCGTGGTGTGTGTGGTGTGTGTGTGGTGTGGTGTGCGTGGTGTGGTGTGTTTGTGCCGGAGGCCCCGGGGGAACAGGCGACTATGACGTCTCCTGGCCCAAACCCCAATTGGCGGAGCCAGGAGATTGAATCTTCACCCTCGGGGCTCCTCCACAAACAACAAAAAGCCACTACGGGTGGCCACGTGGAATGTTCGAACGCTCACTGCGGAGGAGAGGCTGCCACTCCTCTGTCGGGAGCTGGACCGGTACCGCCTGGATCTCTGTGGAATTCAGGAGGTCCGGTGGACCGGCTCTGGCTCCTGTCACCATGAGGGGTGGACAGTCCTGTGGGAGCGTGGCGGTGAGGTGTGGGAAGCTGTAAGCCCCAGGCTACTTTGGGCTCGCCTTCCCATCAACCGGAGGTGAGGAGTGGTGGTCGTGGTTACTTATGCCCCCACCGAAGACGAACATCCGTGGAGGGATGCAGGCAAAGCCGATGAGTCAGATGCCTTCTATGACCTCCTGTCACAGGTGCTGGCTAAAGTGGCCACTCGGGACAGAGTCATCTTGTTGGGTGACTTCAATGCCCGAGTTGGTCATGATGCTGGCACCTGGTCTGGAGTGATTGGAAGGCATGGGCCAGATCAGCTCAATAACAACGGTTGGGGGCTGCTAGATTTTTGTGCAGCCCATGGGCTTGTAATTACCAACACGCTATTCCGGCATCGGCGCATCCACACAACATCATGGATGCATACCGGGTCCAAGCAAGAACATCTGATGGACTACGTAGTGACGGACCAGCGGATGCGAGCCCATGTCCTTGACACCAGGACCTACCGTGGAGCTGATCTGCCCACTAACCATCGACTAGTCATCTGTAAGATGCGCCTGCCTTTCTTCCACTCCGGTGGTGGGTGTACACCCAGGACCCCTTTCAAACCCACAGTGGCCTGGTCTCAGGTAGCTGATGAAAGTTGCAAGCGAGAATTTAATCATCGTTTGCAGCTGGGGTTGGCATCGTCCCCCACTCCTTCTGATGTCGAGGGTAAATGGGCGAGGTTTAGGACTGTGGCTCATGCAGCTGCAATGGCTGCTTTGGGTACACGGTCCAGACCTCCCCAGAAACCCTGGCTGACATAGGAGGTGTTCAGGCTGGCTGAGAAAAAGCGACAGGCCCACTCTCACCGTCTACAGCATCCCACGTCAGAGAATGAGGAGGCTTTTACCGCAGCCTTCGCTCGGAGGTTCGTAGAGCCGTGAGGCGCTGCAAGGAACGGTGGTAGTCGCGGGTTGCTGATCCGCAGACTCGCACAGAGACCCACAGACTCGCACAGAGACCCACAGACTCAGAAACCCACAGAGACCCACAGACTCGCACAGGGATCCACAGACTCGCACAGAGACCCACAGACCCTCACAGAGACCCACAGACCCGCACAGAGACCCACAGACTCGCACAGAGTCCCACAGACCCGCACAGAGACCCACTGACTCGCACAGAGACCCACAGACTCACAGAGACCCACAGACTCACAGAGACCCACAGACTCACAGAGACCCACAGACTCACAGAGACCCACAGACTCACAGAGACCCACAGACTCACAGAGACCCACAGACTCGCACAGAGACCCACAGACTCGCACAGAGAACCACAGACTCGCACAAAGACTCACGGTCTGACATAGAGATGCAGACTTGTGTGGAGACTCACTGAGACCCGGGTTTGATTCCCACTCACGGCCAACATCAGTGGCGATTATCTGAACCGACTCAAGTGAGAGAGTACCTGGTGTAGCGGTGTATTGTAGTGAACATCGCTAGCACTGGGGAGACAAAGGCGGCCGGGCGTGGTGCTGGCCACCCACCCCCTCGTGTGCCACAGTGCCGGCAACCTTCATCGGTGCTCGCTAACAGCACTTGCCCTACAGCCTGTTGAGTCTACACGGGGGACCTTTGTCTTTGTCAGGAGAGCGACGCTACTAACAGCACTTGCCCCTACAGCCTGCTGAGGCTACACGGGGGACCTTTATCTGTGTAGGCAGCTACTACTAACAGCACTTGCCCCTACAGCCTGTTGAGCCTACACGGGGACCTTTGTCTTTGTCAGGAGAGTGACGAAGATGACCCCGGGGAGCCCGAGGACCCTGGGGGCGGGGCCAGTGGCCCCGGGGGGCGGAGCCACAGCGCGAGCCCCGCCCACTCGCCGCCCACCGACCAATCAGAGCGCGAGGCGGAGGCGGAGCTTACGGAGGAGGAGAGGAAGCTGTTGGTGGTGAGGGTCGAGAGTGGGGGGGTCGTGAAGTGGGGGGGGGGTGTAGAGTGGGGGGCGGTTTCGCCGCTCAGCTCTGGGCCAATCAGACGGCCCGGAGTATTGGGGGCGGGGCCCCGTAATGTGGGCGTATGGGAAGGTCCGCCGCCCACCTCCCGTCCAATCGGATGCCTGGAAGATCAGGGGCGGAGCCTGGGGGGGGCGGAGCCTATGGGGGGGCGGAGCCTGGGGGCGGCGCTAAGTGGAAGGTTTGGCAAGGGCGTGGTGGTGGAAGGCAGAGGTCACAAACGGCTACCCGTACCTGGCCGGGTAGGGTACGGGTATCGGGTAGGGTACGGGTATCGGGTAGGGTACGGGTATCGGGTAGGGTACGGGTATCGGGTAGGGTACGGGTATCGGGTAGGGTACGGGTATCGGGTAGGGTACGGGTATCTGGTACGGGTATCGGGTAGGGTACGGGTATCGGGTAGGGTACGGGTATCGGGTAGGGTATCGGGTAGGGTACGGGTATCGGGTAGGGTACGGGTATCTGGTAGGGTACGGGTATCTGGTAGGGTACGGGTATCGTGTAGGGTACGGGTATCTGGTAGGGTACGGGTATCTGGTAGGGTACGGGTATCGGGTACGGGTATCTGGTAGGGTACGGGTATCGGGTACGGGTATCGGGTAGGGTACGGGCATCGGGTAGGGTACGGGCATCGGGTAGGGTAGGGGTATCGGGTATCGTGTAGGGTACGGGTATCGGGTAGGGTACGGGTATCGGGTATCGGGTACGGGTATCGGGTAGGGTACGGGTATCGGGTAGGGTACGGGTATCGGGTAGGGTACGGGTATCGGGTAGGGTACGGGCATCAGGTAGGGTAGCCGGGTATCGGGTACCCGGTTGCGACCTCTGGTGAAAGGTGGAGTCGGGGTGACTCCACGTGGCGAGGGCGATATCGGGGGGATCCGTAAGAGGCTCTTAGTCGGTCGGTCGGCGTAGTCTCGGAGTGGCACCACGTTGGGTCGGGAGACGTCTCCGGCGCCGTCAGCCACGTCAGTCAGCCAGCGGTGTGGAGGGGGGGGGGGTGCCACTGACGGGAAGGGCGGAGTGTGAGAATAACAGAGAGACGGAGACCAAGCTGCGTGTATTACACATCTTTTACTGGTAGGAACGAAGTGGACCAGCCTACAATAGATTATATCGTCCGTCCGTCCTTCCGTGTAGCAACATCGCCCCCTACTGTAAACACTTGGCAGGACCCTACAAAAACCTTTAGACTCAGTGACGCTTTCCTGGCTAAACAAGTGTAACATTCCCTTATAATTCCCTGAGATAGCTTTTAATTAAAACATTTACATTAAAAATTAACTCGCAGCGGCCTAACGCCTACAGCTAGGCCTAAAGCCTACAACTAGGCCTCAAACTCTCCCTTCGTATCGTCCGATTAGGTGTAGCAACATCGCCCCCTACTGCAAACACTTGCAAGGACCCTACAAAAACCTTTAGACTCAGTGAGGCTTTCCTGGCTAAACAAGTGTAACAATAATACATTATGTTTATATTCTTTGGTTGTTCGTTCCTACCAGCCCACTCCGCACGGTCCTGTTATTACACATCTCAACTGAAGTTGCCTCCACTCCCGTGTCCCACTCCCCCCCCCCCTCCCCGTGTCCCATCCCCCGTGTCCCCCCCCCCGTGCCCCCCCCCCCGTGTCCCACCCCCCGTGTCCCCCACCCCCCGTGTCCCACCCCCCGTGTCCCCCCCGTGTCCCACCCCCCGTGTCCCCCCCCCCCCGTGTCCCACCCCCCGTGCCCCCCCCCCGTGTCCCACCCCCCGTGTCCCCCACCCCCCGTGTCCCCCCCCCCCCCCGTGTCCCACCCCCCGTGTCCCACCCCCCGTGTCCCCCCCCCCCCGTGTCCCACCCCCCGTGTCCCCCCCCCCCCGTGTCCCACCCCCCGTGTCCCACCCCCCGTGTCCCCCCCCCCCGTGTCCCACCCCCCGTGTCCCACCCCCCCAGGTGTCGATGATGAAGACGCTGCTGACGGAGCTGCTGCTGGAGGTGACGAGTGACGAGATGGCCGCCGTGGCGAGGCAGGCGCACTACCGAGCGTCACGTGGTAGTGTACCAGCGGGGGGCGGGGGTGTGTCTCTGTGTGTGTGTGTGTCACTGTGTGTGTGTGTCTCTGTGTGTGTGTGTACACGTCACGTGGTAGTGTACCAGCGGGGGGCGGGGGTGTGTCACTGTGTGTGTGTGTGTCACTGTGTGTGTGTGTCTCTGTGTGTGTCTCTGTGTGTGTCACGTGGTAGTGTACCAGCGGGGGGCGGGGTGTGTCTGTGTGTGTGTGTGTGTCACGTGGTAGTGTACCAGCGGGGGGCGGGGGTGTGTCTCTGTGTGTGTGTGTGTCTCTGTGTGTGTGTGTGTACACGTCACGTGGTAGTGTACCAGCGGGGGGCGGGGGTGTGTGTGTGTCACTGTGTGTGTGTGTGTGTCACTGTGTGTGTCTCTGTGTGTGTCACGTGGTAGTGTACCAGCGGGGGGCGGGGGTGTGTGTGTGTCACTGTGTGTGTGTGTCTGTGTGTCTCTGTGTGTGTCACGTGGTAGTGTACCAGCGGGGGGCGGGGTGTGTCTCTGTGTGTCTGTGTGTCACGTGGTAGTGTACCGGCGGGGGTGTGTGTGTGTGTGTGTACACGTGACGTGTGTGTGTGTGTGTGTCTGTGATGTGTGCGTGTGTGTGTACACGTCACGTGGTAGTGTACCAGCGGGGGGCGGAGTGTGTGTCTGTGTGTGTCTGTGTGTCTCTGTGTGTGTCACGTGGTAGTGTACCAGCGGGGGGCGGGGTGTGTGTCTGTGTGTGTGTGACGTGTGTGTGTGTGTGTGTACACGTCACGTGGTAGTGTACCAGCGGGGGGCGGGGGTGTGTCTCTGTGTGTGTGTGTGTGTACACGTGTGTGTGTGTGTACACGTCACGTGGTAGTGTACCAGCGGGGGGGGGTGTATGTGTGTGTCTGTGTATGTGTGTCTTTGTGTGTGTCTCTGTGTGTGTGTGTGTCTGTGTCTTTGTGTGTGTCTTTGTGTGTGTCACTGTGTGTGTGTCACTGTGTGTGTCTGTGTCTCTCTGTGTGTGTCTCTGTGTGTGTGTCTCTGTGTGTGTGTACACGCCGTACTGTGTGTGTGTCTGTGTGTGTCACTGTGTGTGTCTGTGTGTGTCTCTGTGTGTGTGTGTACATGCCGTACTGTGTGTGTGTCTGTGTGTGTGTCACTGTGTGTGTCTGTCTGTGTCTCTGTGTGTCTCTGTGTGTGTGTCAGTGTGTGTGTACACGTGACGTGTGTGTACACGTGACGTGTGTGTCTCTCTGTGTGTCTCTGTGTGTCTCTGTGTGTGTCTGTGTGTGTCTCTGTTTTAACGCTTGTGTCGGTTCTGCTGCTGTTCCTCCCGAAGCCCCCGCCAAGCAATTGGTGCAGTCCACTGCTCTCGCTTCCATCGCCGCCCTCGGTAAGAACCACTACACCGGGGGGGGGGGGGGGGGGGCACGGGGGGGGGGGGGGCACGGGGCCGGGGGGTGAGACACGGACCGAAGGGTGACACGGGGGGGGTGACCGCTTTTGCGATCTCACGCCGTCTTCTTTCCCACACGGGCTTTTAGGTGCCGGTCTTCAATGTGACCGCCCCCCCGCCTGTGTGTGTGTGTGTGTGTTTCTGCGTGTGTGTGTGTGTGTTTCTGCGTGTGTGTGTGTGTGTGTTTCTGCGTGTGTGTGTGTGTGTGTTTCTGCGTGTGTGTTTGTGTGTGTGTTTCTGCGTGTGTGTGTGTGTGTGTTTCTGCGTGTGTGTTTGTGTGTGTGTTTCTGTGTGTGTGTGTGTCTCTTTGTGTGTGTGTGTGTGTTTCTGTGTGCGCGTGTGTGTGTCTCTGTGTGAGTTTCTGTGTGTGTATCTGTGTGTGTCTATGTGTGTCTCTGTGTGTGTCTCTGTGTGTGTCTCTGTGTGTGTCGTGGTGACGTCACCGCCACTTAGTGGCGAATGGCGGTTGTTGTTGTTGTGTGTGTCTCTGTGTGTGTTGGAGCGGTGGTTAACACAGCGACCCATTAACACGACGCACCGTTAACACGGACTTCCCTTGCCGGGAGTTTGCCGGTGGTGCTGCTGCCGTTGTTGTTGTTGTTTAAATGGTGCGACCAAACTGTGGTGGTGGTGGTGGCGGTGGTGGTGGTGGTGGTTGGTGGTGACACGTCTAGGAGGGCTGGGAGCCTACGCCTCGGACAGCGACGTCTCGGACATCGGAGGCGACGAGGACGACGACAACCACCACCACCTTGCCGGTGACGGTGGCGGTGGCGGTGGTGGTGGTGGTGACGGTGACAAACGGAGGTGGTCCGGAGCTGCTCCGGCGGTGGCGGCGATGTCGGCGGCACGTGCCGGCAGGGGAGGCGGCGATCACGACGAGGAGGAGGAGGATGAGGAGGATGAGGAGGAGGAGACTGACGACGAGACGCTGCAGGCGCGCATCCACGACAAGCAGGAAGCCTTCAGGAAGCGCGAAGCCGCTCAGCAGCAGGGTGAGGGACACACACACACAGACACACACAGACACACACAGACACACACAGACACGCACACAGACACACACACAGACACACACACACAGACACACACACAGACACACACACAGACACACACACACACACAGACACACACACAGACACACACACACACAGACAGACACACACACAGACACACACACACACAGACAGACACACAGACACACACACACACAGACAGACACACACACACACACAGACACACACACAGACACACACAGACACACACAACACACACAGACACAACACACACAGACACACACACACAGACACACACACACAGACACACACACACAGACACAGACACACAGACACACACACAGACACACACACAGACACACACACAGACACACACACAGACACACACACACACACAGACACACACACAGACACAGACACACACACAGACACACACACAGACACACACAGACACACACACAGACACACACGCACAGTTACACACACACACAGACACGCAACACAGACACGCACACAGACACACACACAGACACACACACAGACACACACACAGACACACACACAGACACACACGCACAGTTACACACACACACAGACACGCACACAGACACACACACAGACACACAGACACACAGACACACACACAGACACACACACAGACACACACACAGACACACACACAGACACACACGCACAGTTACACACACACACAGACACGCACACAGACACACACACAGACACACAGACACACACACAGACACACAGACACACACACAGACACACACCAGACACACCCACACAGACACACACACAGACAGACACACACAGACACACACACAGACACACACAGACACAGACACACACACAGACACACACAGACACACACACAGACACACACACAGACACACACAGACACACACACAGACACACACACAGAACACACACACAGACACACACGCACAGTTACACACACACACAGACACGCACGCACAGACACGCACGCACGACACGCACACACAGACACGCACACACAGACACACAGCACAGTTACACACACACACAGACACGCACACAGACACGCACACAGACACACACACAGACACAGACACACACACAGACACACACACAGACACACAGACACACAGACACACACACAGACACACAGACACACAGACACACACACAGAGCACACACACACACACAGACACACACACAGACACACACACACAGACACACACAACAGACACACACACAGACACACACGCACAGTTACACACACACAACACGCACAAGCACACAGACACACAGACACACACACAGACACACACACAGACACACAGACACACACACAGACACACACACACACAGACACACACACAGACACACACACAGACACACACACACAGACACACACACACACAGACACACACACACAGACACACACACACAGACACACAGACACACACACACACGACACACACACATGACACACACACACGAGACACACACACGCGATACGACAGTGATACCACGACAAAGATACCACAGCAAAAATACCATGGCAAAGATACGACAATAATACCACTGTAATTAAGCTCGTTGAGGCGACTTCTGGAATCCGCCTTTTATTCAACTTGTATCACGGCTTTCTTTCACGCTGCTGACAGGCAGCGTGAGAGGGACAGATAGTTAGAGAGAGAGACACGCACTGCCACGTGGCAACCCGGAGCCCCGCTCCCACGTGGCCCCCTTCCTCCGTTCGTTCCCGTTCTGACCACGTGTCGTTCGTCTCCACCCCTATTTAATACCCGGGTCACGTGGTACGTTTCCACCAATCCTGGTTAGCCTCCGTGGAATATTCCCGGCTCCATCGTCAGCTCCCGGGACCACGCCCCTGACTCGTCTCCCCATTGGCTGTGGCCAAAGCAAGCAGAACCAATCCTTACAGCTGTTACCTTTCCATCATGTCAGGGCCACGCCCCTAGACTTACTCCCATTGGCCGTAAACCCGGACCGGCAGAGCCAATCATCGTGACGAGTTGTGATACGTCAGTGAGCCGGATATATCCTCACATTACACCACGACAGTGATACGACGAATAACACCACGACAATAACGCCACAACCGCGTCACACCGTGCGTGCGTGCAGGCAGCGACTCGGACGGCCATGACAGGATACAGGACCCCGTGCGGCCCGCCCCTTCGCGTGGGGGCGGCGACAGCCCCCCCTCCCCCTCGCCCCTCCCCCCCCTCCCGCCGTCGTCGTGCCGACCGGAGGCCGACGAGGCCGAGAAGCCTTGCGGCGGCCGGCGCAGCCGTTGGGACAACCAGGAGAAGCCTGACGCGAAGGCCGCCGCCGCCAAGGAGACGACCGCCACCGCCGGCGTGACGACCGCGGCCGGCGTCGACTCCTCCGGCGTCCCCTCGGCGGCCGCCCCCCCCTCCCGGCGGTCGCCGGAGCCGCGTCCTCGCCTCGCGGCGGCGAGGACGACGAGGACGGGGGGGGGCACGGAGGAGGCGACGGAGACGGAGGAAGAGGCGGCGGCTCTGGGCCCCGACAAGGCGAAGCGGCGACGTCGGAAACAGCGGCGGCGTCGGCGCGGCAGCAGCAGCAGCAGCAGCGGGAGCGGCGGAAGCGGCGGGAGCAGTAGCAGCAGCAGCGGTAGTGACAGCGACAGTGAAGACGAGGAGCGGGGATCGCAGTCGGGAAAGAAACGCCGCAAGAAGAGGAGGAGGAAGAGCCGGCGCGGCGCTCGCGACGACTCCGCCCCCGACGCCTCCGGGAAACGGCGAAAAGTTCGGAGCCCCGAACGTCGGAGCCCCGAACGCCGGGAGAGGCAGCGGGAGCGGGAGAGGGAGAGGGAGCGGACGGGGAAAAGCGCGGGGGGCGTCGCGAAGAGGGAGGCGAGGAGGAGGAGGGGCAGCCGCAGCCGGAGCCGCAGCCGCGAGCGGAGGGACGGAGATTTTGGAGGGAGGCGCCATTCCCGGTCGGGGCGCCGCAACGCCGGCAGCCCCACGGATGGGAAGGGAAGGAGCCGCAAGAGGGACGAGAGGGACAGGGGGGACAGGGGGGACAGGGACAGGGGGGACAGGGACAGGGACAGGGGGGAGAGGGAGAGGGGGGAGAGGGATAGGGGGGAGAGGGACAGGGACGGGGATAGGGGGTTGCAGAGGGACAGAGGGGAGAGGGACAGGGGGGAAAGGGACAAGGCTCGCCACAAGGGTGGGGGGGCGGATAGGGAGAGTGAGCGGGCGAGGACGAGGGAGAGAGACAGAGGAGACGGGGGTAGCGGTAGGGACAGGGACAAGGACAGGGACAGGGACAAGGACAGGGACAAGGCCAAACGGAGCAGCAGCAGCCGCCCGTCGGCAGAGCCGCCCGCCAAACCCACCGACCGCCGCCCGTCCGGCAAGAAGCCACCGCCCTCCCCGGCCACCACTGCCGCCCCCGGCAAGCGCGCCGTGGGCAACGGCGGCGAGCGAAACGAGCGGAAAGAACGGAAGGAACGGAGCGACGGCAGCAGCGGCAGCAGCAGCAGCTCAGAGGGCCACGACCGGGAGAGGCGGAAGGCGTCCCGCAAGGCGTCGGCGTCGAGCGCGAAGAAGAGGAAGAAGAGGAAGGAGCAGGACGAGGAGGAGGAGGGAGCTCCGGCGATTGCGGTACCGGCGGCTGCGACGGAGCTGCCCGCCGGCGAGAGAGGGAGGCACCGGTCTGGTAAGACGGCGGAGGCGGCGAATGCCAAGCGGGAGTCTGAGTCCTCGTGAAGGTAGGCGCTGCCACGGGGCGGGCGGGCGTGGGGGGGCGGGCGGGCGGGGGGGTGCAGTGGCTTGTGTGGTCGTGTGTCCGCGCACGTGTCTGTGCGTCTGTGTCTGTGTGTCCGTGCGTGTCTGTTCGTGCCCGTGTCTGTGCGCCCGTGCGCGTGTCTGCGGTCGTGTATCCGCGAGTGTGTCTGCATGTGCATGCGCGTGTGTGCATGTCTGCGTGTGTGTCTGCGTGTGTGTCTGCATGTGTCTGCGTGTCTGTGCGCGTGTATGCATGTCTGCGTCTGTGCATGGCTGTGTCCGCGCACGTCTGTGTAGTTGCTCGCTGACAACTTTGTACGATGTGAAAGACGTTCAGCTTACACACTTGCCCTGAACAGTCTGCCCAGGTTATAGACGAGGGAATCTCTGTGTCCGTGTGTCCGTATGTGTCGGCTGTTCCCTTCGTGGCGCTTGTAGCCACCACAGCGGCCAAATGGGGGCTCTGGACGAGGTGCGAGGAGCTACTTTAACCACCATCACCGTCTAAGCAACTACTGCTAAACTACGTGCACAATAACGAACTAAGCTTGTGCCGCAGGCCCCGGGGAGAGGGACGGGCGTCCGTGACGTCTCCTGGCCGACACCCCATTTGGCGGAGCCAGGAGATTGAATCTTCACCCTCGGGGCTCCTCCAGAAACGGCAAAAAAAACCACCGCGGGTGGCCACGTGGAATGTTCGAACGCTCGCTGCGGAGGAGAGGCTGCCACTCCTCTGTCGGGAGCTGGACCGGTACCGCCTGGATCTTTGCGGCATTCAGGAGGTCCTGTAGAACTGCTCTGGCTCTTGCCACCATGAGGGGTAGACAGTCCTCTACTCGGGGCAGGAGACTGCCAAACAACAGGGAGTGGCTCTTATTCTGAGCAAAAGATTGAAGGGGGCGTGGGAGCGTGGCGGTGAGGTGTGGGAAGCTGTAAGCCCCAGGCTACTGTGGGCTCACCTTCCCATCGACCAGCCCATGAGCTTGTAATTACCAACACGCTCTTCCGGCATCGGCGCATCCACACGACATCATGGATGCATGCCGGGTCCAAGCAAGAACATCTGCTGGACTACATAGTGACGGAACAGTGGATGCGAGCCCATGTCCTTGACACCAGGACCTACCGTGAAACTGATCTTCCCTCTGACCGGCTAGTCATTTGCAAGATGTGCCTGCCATTCTTCCACTCCGGTGGTGGGTGTACACCCAGGACCCCATTCAAACCCACAGTGGCATGGTCTCAGCTTGCTGATGAAAGTTGCAAGCGAGAATTGCAGCTGGAGTTGGCATCGTCCCCCCATTCCTGCTGATGCCGAGGGGAAATGGGCGAGGTTTAGGACTGTGGCTCATGCAGCTGTGTTGGGTACACGGTCCAGACCTCCCCAGAGAACCCTGGCTGATGGAGGAGGTGTTCAGGCTGGTTGAAAAAAAGCGACAGGCCCACTCTAATCGTCTACAGCATCCCACGTCGGAGAATGAGGAGGCTTACCGCAGCCTTCGCTCAGAGGTTTGGAGAGCCGTGAGGCGTTGCAAGGATGGATGGTGGTCGTGGGTTGCTTAGGAGATGGATCTGCCTCAGTAGCCCGCTATCACAAATCACTCTTTAACGCAGCATGCTGAGGAGAGGCTTGCGGAGACCCAATGTGATTTCAGGCCAGGGCGGTCCTGCACAAATGCCATATTTTCTCTACGTTTGCTACAGCAGAGGTGTAGGGAATTCCAACAAGACCTACATCTCTGCTTTATTGACCTGGTCAAGGCCTATGCTACCATCAACAGGCCTGGGCTCTGGGTTGTTCTTCGTGCTTTCGGAGTCCCTGACCCTCTGCTCACGATCATCAAGGACCTTCATGATGGTGAGCGGGCCCGGGTAAAACTACGTGGCCGGGAGTCACCTTGGGGTGCGACAGGGATGTCCTCTGGCTCCCACATTATGTAACATCTATTTTGACCACGTATTTCGTGAAGCCTTCGATGGCTGTAACGGAGGAATTTCCATCTGGTACAGATACAATGGAAGGCTGATCGATGCCCGGGTTGGTCAAGGGATGGCTCCCTATTGCTCAACCACGTTATGTATGCCGATGATCTGGTGATTGCTCCTCACCCAGATGAGGAGTTGGAGGCGCTGCTGCTGAACCTGGAGCTTACATCTTTACTTCACTTTCGTGACTGCAGGAATTAATCTTCTTGGTTCTTTCGGTAAAGTCACGTAGAAGGGAAATAATAAAATAATAAAAATAAAACATCATTCAATAATTCTCACGACGTTTCAGCCACAACGCAAGCAGCCGTCCTCAGGTGAAGAACAGGTCTGTCGGAAAGACAGCGTCTGAATAAACACCACCAGGCTTGGCAGCGTATATTTAAGCTGCTGGGTTGGAGGGGGAAGAGCGCCTTGACAAAGGAATTTGCATATCAAAAGGAGTTTAGCATATTTATGGGAAATGCAGATATGCGATTAGTACTACTTGTGAAATGCGTGGGAGGTGGGTGGGGGGTTTCAAAGTCATATTATGCCTGTGCATTATGTAGGATTAGCAGCATCAAAGGGAGGGAGTAGGGGTAGCATTAATAAAGGGAAGGAATGTTAATAGTATGTAGCTGCAGCAACTAAGTACATTACAATAAATAACACTGTACATAAAGTTCGTGATCTGATCCCATCTGTGAAGGACAAGATTGCTGACATGCAATATCCCGGCGTCGACAAACTGAGCTGTCTTCTTGGTTCTTTCGGTAAAGTTACGTAGAAGGGAAGTAATAAAATAATAAAAATATAACATAATAAAATTAAGAAAGCTTTAAATCGAAACTGAGCTGTGTCTGCGGCAGCGATTACATTGGGGAAACTAAGCGACACGTCTCTGACCGTGCTAGTGAACACAAGGCAGATTTGAAACACGCTAGGACCAACACTTCTGCCGTGGCTGATCGTTATTTTAATGCGGCTGGCTCACACGAAATAGATTTCTCTACGACGATGGTCCTTTGCAAGCCGACTGGCTATCAACAAAGATTCGTTCATGAAGCCATCCATATATACAGACACAATTTCCCTCGAGAGGATGGTTATACACTCAGCAATCGTTGGAAAGATGTCATTGTTTTGTATTTTTATAATTGAAAGAACCAAGAATACATTTACATTTTAGACTGCAAGTACACTCACTCGGATTAAGAACCAGGCTGCAGTCTACATCAGTGTTTTTTGTTTTTTTATTATATTTTTTTTATTCACTTTATTTTTTTAAAAACAGGACCCTGCGGGGTGGGCTGGTAGGAACGAATAACCAAAGAATATAAACATAATGTATTATTACACTTGCTTAGCCAGGAAAGCCCCACTGAGTCTAAAGGTTTTTGTAGGGTCCTGCCAAGTGTTTGCAGTAGGGGGCGATGTTGCTACACCTAATCGGACGATACGAAGGGAGAGTTTGAGGCCTAGTTCTAGGCTTTAGGCCGCTGTGAGTTAATTTTTAATTTAAATGATTTAATTATTTACGTAAAAGCTTTAAATGTAAATGTTTCTATTTAAAAAAACATCAGGGAATGTAACATTGTTAAACATTAACTCCCTTTCACACACGCGGGGGTACGATACAAAGTGAGAGTTTGAGGCCTAGTTCTAGGCTTTAGGCCTAGCTGTAGGCTTTAGGCCGCTGTGAGTTAATTTTTAATTTAAATGTTTTAATTAAAAGCTATCTCAGGGAATTATAAGGGAATGTTACACTTGTTTAGCCAGGAAAGCCTCATTAATTTAAATGTTTTAATTAAAAGCTATCTCAGGGAATTATAAGGGAATGTTACACTTGTTTAGCCAGGAAAGCCTCACTGAGTCTAAAGGTTTTTGTAGGGTCATGCCAAGTGTTTGCAGTAGGGGGCGATGTTGCTACGCCTAATCGGACATCGGACGGAGGAACGGACGATATAATCTATTGTAGGCTGGTTCACTTCGTTCCTACCAGTAAAAATTCTGTCTACATGATTTTACCGAAATAACCAAAGAATATGAACCTGGAATGTGCCACTAAGAGGTGGGGCCTTACCATCAGCCCCACATAAACGAAGCACCTGCCTGGGTATTTTGTACCATCGGACACTCCACCCCCACAACTCCCAATCGGTGATAGGGGCAGTTGTGGAGAGAGTGGAGAGTTTCCCATACCTAGGCAGTGTGCTCATGACCGGCTCTGGTTTAACAGCAGAGGTCTAACTCCGAATCAGTCGAGCGACAATATCTTTTCATCGGTTGCGTAACGCTGTGTGGAAGCTACCTGGTCTGTCGCTCCGCACGAAGCTTCGGGTCTTCTCGGCCACAGTCATTCCCTCCCTTTTCTACGCTTGCGAAACGTGGACCCTCCTAATGGAACATCTTCGCCGGTTGGAAACATTTAGGCTGGCCTGCCTACAATCCATCCTGGGTTTAACCTGCAGGCTGGATTGTGTGAGGAGCTCACAAATCCTTGAAAGATCTGGGCAAAGTCCCATTAGTGAGCTCCTCCGGCAGGCAAGGCTGCGTTGGCTGGGTCATGTAGCCCGCATACCCAGCCACCGCATGCCCAGCCACCGCATGCCCAAGCAGCATCTGTTTGGCCGGATCGAGGGGGCTAAACGGGCGCGGCACGGGCTAGAGAAGAGATGGAGTGACGTGGTACAGGAGGACGTGGAGCTGAGTGGACTTGCCGATGACTGGTACCAGCGGTGTCAAGATCGGCCTCGGTGGAGGAGGCTCGTGAAGGACTCTACTGGGCAGTTGGAGGCAGTCGCCCTCCAACAGCAACGGAGGGCGGAGGAGCGACGCTCACAACAACGAGCGGAGTGCCGGGTGGCTAAAGCACAGCAAGTTGACACAGTAGGGGGGGTACAGTTGGTGGTGCATCTACCGGTCATCTCAGTCAGCTGATCCATGGCACCTGCTGTGTCTGTCATGTGACCTCCTGCCAGCGGGCGTTCGACACTTCACATGGTAACCTCAAGGTGCACGTAGCCTGGCACAGGCGCCGTGGTGAGGTCACTGCCTCTTGATGGCGGTTGTTGTTGTTGTCGTTGTTGTTGTGCGCACGTTGTACCCTGAACTTCTTTTTGACGGCGCATGGAGCCAACCGTGCCGATCAGGTCCGCCGTCTCGCGTCACGGTGGTGGCGGTGGTTGTGGTGGTTGTGGTGGTTGTGGTGGTTGTGGTGGTTGTGGTGGTTGTGGTGGTGGTGGTGGTTGTGGTGGTGGTGGTGGTTGTGGTGGTGGTTGTGGTGGTTGCGGTGGTGGCTGTGGTGGTTGTGGTGGTTGTGGTGGTGGTGGTGGCGGTGGTGGCGGTGGTGGTGGTGGTGGCGGTGGTGGTCGATGATATTCAGCGTTTGAAGTTTTTTTGTTATTGCTCCGAATGAGTTAATGGGAGACGCGTCCCAGATTCTCATCTCCGTTGACGATCTGCCGCGTCTCTGCCTGTGTCTCTGTGTGTCTCTGCCTGTGTCTGTGTGTCTGCGTGTTGTGTCTCTGTGTGTTGTGTGTCTCCGTGTCTCTGCCTGTGTCTGTGTGTCTGCGTGTCTCTGCCATGTGTGTCTGCGTGTTGTGTGTCTGCGTGCCTCTGCCTGTGTCTGTCTCTGCCTGTGTCTGTCTCTGCGTGTCTCTGCCTGTGTCTGCCTGTGTCTGTCTCTGCGTGTCTCTGCCTGTGTCTGCCTGTGTCTCTCTGCGTGTCTCTGCCTGTGTCTGCCTGTGTCTGTCTCTGCGTGTCTCTGCCTGTGTCTGCCTGTGTGCTGTCTCTGCGTGTCTCTGCCTGTGTCTGCCTGTGTCTGTCTCTGCGTGTCTCTGCCGTGCCCCGCCCAGTGACAAATCAGCCGACGCTCCATTTGCTCTCTCCTCCCTCCTCCTCCCCCACTGCTCCCCCCCTCCTCCCCCCCTTCCTCCCTCCCCCCCCTCCTCCTCCTCCCCCCCCACTCCCCAGGCTTCTGCTGCCACTGATGCTGCCTGCCGCCACTGGCGATGACGACGAAGATGATGACGACGATGATGGCGACGACGATGACGACGACGACGATGATGACGATGTGGAGGCTCAGCTGATGACGAAGACAAAGAAGACGACGACGACGATGCGGCTACAGCTGATGAGGAAGACGACGGTGGTGATGGTGGTCGTCATAGCGACTGATGATGATGAGGAGGAGGAGGTGAAGGAGGTGTTGCAGGAACACGCCAGTGGGCACCCATAGGGGGGTGCACACACAGACACACGCACACACACAGACACATAGACATACACACACACAGACACACACACACACAGACACACGCACACACACAGACACATAGACATACAGACACACACATACATAGACACACACAGACACATAGACATACACACACACAGACACATAGACATACACACACACAGACACACACACACACAGACACACGCACACACACAGACACATAGACATACAGACACACCATACATAGACACACACAGACACATAGACATACACACACACAGACACATAGACATACACACACACAGACACACACACACACAGACACACGCACACACACAGACACATAGACATACAGACACACACATACATAGACACACACAGACACATAGACATACACACACACAGACACATAGACATACACACACACAGACACATAGACATACACACACACAGACACATAGACATACACACACACAGACACATAGACATACACACACACAGACACATAGACATACACACACACAGACACACACACACACAGACACACGCACACACACAGACACATAGACATACAGACACACACATACATAGACACACACAGACACATAGACATACACACACACAGACACATAAAACATACACACACACAGACACACACACACACAGACACACGCACACACACAGACACATAGACATACAGACACACACATACATAGACACACACAGACACATAGACATACACACACACAGACACATAGACATACACACACACAGACACACACACACACAGACACACGCACACACACAGACACATAGACATACAGACCAACAGACACACATACCATAGACATACACACACACAGACACATAGACATACACACACACAGACACATAGACATACACACACAGACACACACACACACAGACACACGCACACACACAGACACATAGACATACAGACACACACATACATAGACACACACAGACACATAGACATACACACACACAGACACATAAACATACACACACACAGACACACACACACACAGACACACGCACACACACAGACACATAGGCATACAGACACACAGACACATAGACATACACACACACAGACACAGACATACACACACACAGACACATAGACATACACACACACAGACACACACACACACACAGACACACGCACACACACACACAGACACATAGACATACAGACACACACATACACACACATACATACACACACATACACACACACACAGACACACACACATAGACATACAGACACTCACATACATAGACACACACAGACACATACATACACAGACACACACACACATAGATATACATGCAGACACGCACAGACACACAGACACACACACACACGCAGACAGACACACATACACACACATACACACACAGACACACATAGACATACACGCATACACACACAGACATACACACACGCACACACATACACACACATACACACACGCACACACATACACGCACGCACAGACACGCACACAGACACGTACGCACTCACACACACGCGCGCGCACACATACACAAACCCACACACAGACACACACACACACGTACGCACTCACACACAGAAATACTCGCACACAGACACGCACACAGACACGCACACAGACACGCACACGTGGGTGTACACGTGTGTGTGTGTGTGTGTCTGTAGGTGTATGGGTGTATGTGCGAATGTGTGTAGATGTATGTGTGTGTACCTGTACACACAACACCACACACACACCACACACACACCACACACCACCACCACACACACCACACGTACACACAACACACCACACGTACACACCACACGTACACACAACACGTACACACAACACGTACACACAACACACCACACGTACACACCACACGTACACACCACACGTACACACCACACACACCACACACACACCACACACTACAAACCCCACACACGACACACACACCACACACACACCACACACTACAAACCCCACACACGACACACACACCACACACTACACACCACACACTACACACCACACACTACACACCACACACACACCACCAAACACCACACACTACACACCACACACACACCACACACACACACCACACACACCACCACCACACACACCACACACACCACACACACTACACACCACCACACACACCCACACACACCGCACGGTTTTAATAGCTAGCTAACGATGGGGGCTGCCACGGGATATTTTTTCTGTCTCTTGCGCGTCTGTGGATGTCGCCAATGAGTTTGGCGGTGGTGGCGGTGGTGGCGGTGGTGGCGGTGGTGGCGGTGGTGGCGGTGGTGGCGGTGGTGGCGGTGGCGGTGGTGGTGGTGGCGGCGGTGGTGGCGGTGGCGGTGGTGGTGGTGCGGTGCGATCTTATTCGGCCCCCGCCACGTTTCTTAAGTAAAGTGAAGCGACCGTCTTGAGCCGGCAGCGACTCCCCGACTCCTCCTCACTGCTTGCCGGGCGGAACGCCAATCGGCGCATACGGTGGTGTGTGTGGTGTGGGTGGTGTGTGTGGTGTGTGTGGTGTGTGTGGTGTGTGTGGTGTGGGTGGTGTGGGTGGTGTGTGTGGTGTGGGTGGTGTGTGTGGTGTGGGTGGTGTGTGTGGTGTGTGTGGTGTGGGTGGTGTGGGTGGTGTGTGTGGTGTGTGTGGGGTGGTGTGGGTGGTGTGTGTGATGTGGTGTGTGTGGTGTGGGTGGTGTGGGGTGGTGTGGGTGGTGTGTGTGGGTGGTGTGTGTGGTGTGGGTGGTGTGGGTGGTGTGTGTGGTGTGGGTGGTGGTGGTGTGTGGAGTGGTGGTGGTGTGTGGAGTGGTGGTGGTGTGTGTGGTGTGGGTGGTGTGTGTGGTGTGGGGTGGGGTGGTGGTGTTGGGTGTGTGTGGGGTGGGGTGGTGTGGTGTGTGGTGTGGGTGGTGGGTGGTGGGTGGTGGTGTGGGTGGGGTGGGTGGTGGTGTTGGGTGTGTGTGGGGTGGGGTGTGGTGTGTGTGGTGTGGGTGGTGTGGGTGGTGTGTGTGGTGTGGGGTGGGGTGGTGGTGTTGGGTGTGTGTGGGGTGGGGTGGTGGTGTGGGTGGTGTGTGATGGTGTGTGTGGTGTGACGTGGTGGTGTGTGCGGTGGTGGTGTGTGTGGTGGTGGTGGTGTGTGTGTGATGGTGTGTGTGGTGGTGGTGTGTGCGGTGGTGGTGATGTTAAGACGTTAACTACCTCTGGGGGTCTGTGAGTCTGTGTGAGTCTCTGGTTCGCTGGGGGTATCTGCGGGTTTCAGTGTCAATCACTGAGGCTCACAGAGCCAGACTAAGGCTCCCACATGGTTCAGTGTTGATCACTGAGGCTCACAGAGCCAGACTAAGGCTCCCACAGGGTTCAGTGTTAATCACCGAGACTCACAGAGCCAGACTGAGGCTCCCACAGGGTTCAGTGTTGATCACTGAGGCTCGCAGAGCCAGACTGAGGCTCTCACAGGGTTCAGTGTTAATCACCGAGACTCACAGAGCCAGACTGAGGCTCCCACAGGGTTCAGTGTTGATCACTGAGGCTCACAGAGCCAGACTAAGGCTCCCACAGGGTTCAGTGTTAATCACCGAGACTCACAGAGCCAGACTGAGGCTCCCACAGGGTTCAGTGTTGATAACTGAGGCTCGCAGAGCCAGACTGAGGCTCTCACAGGGTTCAGTGTTGATCACTGAGGCTCACAGAGCCAGACTGAGGCTCCCACAGGGTTTAGTGTTAATCACTGAGGCTCACAGAGCCAGACTGAGGCTCCCACAGGGTTCAGTGTTGATCACTGAGGCTCGCAGAACCAGACTGAGGCTTACACAGGGTTCAGTGTTGATCACTGAGGCTCACAGAGCCAGACTGAGGCTCTCACAGGGTTCAGTGTTGATCACTGAGGCTCGCAGAGCCAGACTGAGGCTTACACAGGGTTCAGTGTTGATCACTGAGGCTCACAGAGCCAGACTGAGGCTCTCACAGGGTTCAGTGTTGATCACTGAGGCTCGCAGAGCCAGACTGAGGCTCTTCTAACCAGGCAGAAGCGGTGTGACTGACAGTCACCGTGTGCTGTTTGTGATCTTGCAAATTTCTGAGACATTTTGACATATTCATGCTGACAACGGGGTCGTAGACAACCAGCAAACACGGAGACAAACACAGAGACACAAACAGACAGACACAAAGACAGATACAAACACAGACACAGATACACAAACAGGCACAAACAGAGACGCAGAGAGACAAACACAGAGGCACGGAGAGACAGACACAAACAGAGACACGGAGACACAACACAGACACGGAGACACAGACAGACAGAGACACGGAGACAGACAGAGACAGACACAGAGACACGGGGAGAGACCGACAGAGACACAAACAGACACGGAGAGACAGAGACAGACACAAACAGAGACACGGGAACACAAACATACAGACACTCAAAGGTCCCCCGTGTAGCCTGTAACAGGCTGTAGGGGCAAGTGCTGTTAGTTGTGGCGAGTAGCAGCACCTATGAAGGCTACCAGCACTGTGGCACACACAGGGGGGGTGGGTGGCCAGCACCACGCCCGGCCGCCTTTGTCTCTCTCAGTGCCACTCACCCGGTGAGTGGGTGAGCGAGTGGGTGGGTGGATGGGTGAGCGAGTGGGTGAGTGAGTGAGTGAGCGAGTGGGTGAGTGAGTGGGTGAGCGGATGGGTGGGTGAGTGAGTGGGTGAGCGGATGGGTGGATGGGTGAGTGGGTGGGTGAGTGAGTGGGTGGGTGGATGGGTGAGCGAGTGGGTGAGTGAGTGAGCGAGTGGGGTGAGTGAGTGAGTGGGGGAATGAGTGGGTGGGTGGATGGGTGAGTGGGTGGGTGAGTGAGTGGGTGAGTGGGTGGGTGAGCGAGTGGGTGAGCGGATGGGTGGATGGGTGAGTGGGTGGGTGAGCGAGTGGTGGATGGGTGAGTGAGCGAGTGGGTGAGTGAGTGGGTGAGCGGATGGGTGGGTGAGTGAGTGGGTGAGCGGATGGGTGGATGGGTGAGTGGGTGAGTGAGTGGGTGGGTGAGTGAGTGGGTTAGTGGATGGGTGGGTGAGTGATTGAGTGGGTGGGTGAGTGGGTGGATGGGTGAGTGAGCGAGTGGGCGGGTGAGTGAGCGAGTGGGCGGGTGAATGAGTGGGTGGAGTAAGTATTTGAGTGTGTGAGCGTGCTGTGAAGATGGCCCATCGCCCGAAACGTCGCCCATTATACACAATTCCCCATTTGGAAGGCTGCCACACACAACAACAACCGCCATTCGCCACTAAGTGGCGGTGACGTCACCACGGCGCCTGTGCCAGGCCAAGTGCACCTTGAGGCCACGTGAAGTGTCGAACGCCCGCTGGCAGGTCACGGGGCAGGCCCAGCAGGTGCCACGGGTCGACTGAGATGACTGGCTGATGCACCACCTGTGCCCCCTACTGTGCCAACTTGCTGTGCTTTAGCCACCCGGCGCTCCGCTCGTTGTTGTGAGCGTCGCTCCTCCGCCCTCCGTTGTTGTTGGAGGGCGACTGCCTCCAACTGCCCAGTAGCGTCCTTCACGAGCCTCCTCCACAGAGGCCGATCTTGACACTGCTGGTACCGGTCATCGGCAAGTCCACTCAGCTCCACAACCTCCTGTACCGCATCACTCCATCTCTTCTCCAGCCCGTGCCGCGCCCGTTTAGCCCCCTCGATCCGGCCGAACAAAAGCTGTTTAGGCATGCGGTGGCTGGGCATGCGGGCTACATGA